GTACAGGCGAAGTATAGGAGTAAGTGAGAGAAGACCATAGAGATTACAATAAGTAGTACATGATAGAGTAGCAGGAAGATTACATGGGATTGAATAATAGTGGATAGAAAATAATGAAGAGGAAGGGTGAGGTTGATGAAAAGGGCGGTTAAATGAGGTGCAGGGGCGCCAGCCGAAGCTGGCGGCGGAAGTATGAGAACTCTTTCAAAGGCGGGGCTTCCCTTTCATACCCGCAAAAGCGGCGGACTGTGCGCAGTGGTGGTAGTCTGCGTTTTTCCTACGATACCACGTAACAGTGTCAGTTGTTCTGCTGCTGCTTTGTTCTCTTCTTGAGTGCGGCGCACACTGGTGCCGATCTGATGTGCAAACCGCTCGGTCACATCTTGGTTCGTCGTCATCGCTGGAAACAGACTCAAAGTCGGATATCCGAATCTCTTCGAATTCGTTCAAGATATCTTCGCTCTCGTCAGACTCACAGCGGGACAGTGTCTGGGCTCCTCTTCACTTGCCCGAATTCGCGTTTGTTTGATTTCCCAGTTTCCTCTGGGGGTGAAAACTGAATGGGTTGTTAAGTGGGACCTCACACTAAGTTTTAACGGAATTCACTGTCGAAGCACAAATCAACAACAAGGAGAACACATTGAAAAAACAAATGTCCTTGAGTTTAGGAGGGACTTTCAAATGGAATTCTTTAATGACTTTCATTCAAAGGAACAATAGTTCTACAACTCCCAGTCCGAGGACTTGATACTTCATACCATCGGTCAATGCGGAGAGTACAGTGCGGAGATTACTCAAAGGCACAAGTTTGACCGCTTCTTTTCTGCAAACACCTGCTCTTGCTCACCAGCAATAAATCCGGAATCTTGCTCATGCGGTAACGGCGACATCAAAAAATTGATAGCAAAGTCAACTTTACCATTGATGATGAAAAACGTCGTGATTTATCAAAAAGAAAAAGAGATTGTAGCGACAAATGTAGGCAGCGCAATACAACTGCACGTCATCGTCGAAAATATAAAACTGGCGTTTACGCGGCGAAACACAACATGCACACTCATGGCTTCAGAAATAGCAGGATGCTACAGCTGCTTCTCTGGAGCTCAGGCAAATTTGTCTTGTCAATCAGAAGCAGGTGAAATCACTGCAGAAGTAATATGTGGAAATCAACAACAGATTGTTATCTGCACTCCTCGCGGACATATAAATGAAGTAAATTTTGTTGACTCTTCACTTGTCAGAAAAAATTGCACACTGCTTTGCCCGGGAGGAGCTATCGCTTTCCTACTCGAAGAACTTCACTGCATTAAAGACGCTCCATTCCTACATGGAAAAAGCATCGAAATATCACAAGATGGGACGAATTTTAATTTCACTTTTTCACAGATTATCTGTTATCTCAAAATTCCACTCCATTTCATTGTAAAAATATTTTCGTCATTTTTTCATTTGAAATTCTTTTTCTTTTAGGTTCTTTTTCTCGCTCTTCTGTCATTTCTCACCTCCATCATCCGAAATCTATCTGTAACGCTAACTGCAAAGAAATAGTTAGCAAATGCTTTGGTGGGAGTATTCTGTACTTCTACAGAAATTTTTCTAGTTCTGTTCGGTCTGGTCGAACATTTTGGAATCTTAAAGGCAGTGTCCGCGCAGATTTGGAGCTTCTCAGT